TGTTGTGGCCCATCCCACACCCTATTCTTGGGTGCTGCAGCCTGGGCCAGCCTAATCTGTTCCCAATCCTAGTACCCATGAGCATCAGTATATTCCATGGTCATGTGTAGTTCACCCCCAACCCCAACTCTTTAACAAACCAGTGGATATTGCAGTTCTACAAGGGTGAACCCATATCCCCTATAGAATCTGCCCCCAAACCAGGTTAGTGTCATGGTCCAGCCTAATGTTACCTGTCCCCTGCTCTGACACCCACTGGCAGGTACTGTGACCTAGCCCAGCCAGGTAAATCCCCATCCCTAATTTTAGTGTGTGCTGGTGGGTGGTGATCAGCAGTAGTTGATGTTAACTAGCCCAGGTCAGATCTCTCACATGGATGGGTGCATCAGACTGACCCAGAAAGGTCCTCTAGCTTCCCACCTCCAGAGCGTTTGGCTGCAGCCCTCTTGCTTACCTGCAAGCCAGCAGAAGTCCCCAGAAGCCATTGCTCACCTGTAACATACTTCCTCAGTGGTCCCCTCTCCCACACATCCTATACTTCTTCCCATTTTCAGATCAATCCACAGCTTCTGTGCCTGTGAGCACATGGGTTCACCAGCCTAGTCTTCTGGTTGGGTGGATGCTGGCCTGAAACCATGCCCGCCCACCTGGAACCCCAGAGCCAGCGCTGCTCCAGGTCCTGGCCTGGGAACCTGTCCTTCCACCCAGCCAGGATTCAAGTGCATTCACAAGCACCCCAAGCCCAATCCTCCAGTACACCATGTCAGCATGCCAGCCTGGAGCCCTAACATGTGTGGGAGTTCCTATGCCTGCTTCAATCTGCCAGCCCCCAGCATGAGTCCCAAGACCCCCAGAGGCCAATTAGGTGCTGGGGGTGGGGTGAGAGGAAGGTGCCCATGATCCCACTTTCTGAGCATACACAATCGTTGGGAGTTCCTAACACTGTCCTGTGTAGGATACTGGGCTCCAGGAAGGATCTGGTAGGTGAAGCAGAGTGCCTACAGCTGAGACAGTATAGTAAAAGACTTCCTGTGGGCAGGGCATATTTCTCCATGAGGTCCAGGGAGAGGGTGCAAGTATTTGTGTGTGCACAAGCATATGTGTGTGCATGCACGTTGCTCTATTCACAGGTCAGCCTTGGTGTGCATGTGCATGCTTGTGTGTGAGAACATGTGGTTCTGTGTAAGGTAGTGTGCACAGCTGGGTGTCATGGGTGCCTGCCTGGGTAGCTCTCCGTATGCTTCTGGGTGTGTCTCTGTATGACTGTCAATGTGTAAGCTTGTGCAGTTTTGTGACCTTCCAAGCTTGGATCTCTGTGTGTATGTGTAGACTCCATGTCTTCGACCAGTTGGTGTGTGGGTGTGCATGTGCCAGGATGTTTGTTCACACACAGTGTTTCTCTGTATGTGTGTTTGGTGTGTGTCTATCTGGACAGGCATCTGTTCCATGCGGTTTTGGGAACAAAGAGCAGACTTTTCCCAGATGTGCTGTTTTCAAGGATGCTGGAGCTGAGGGCACAGGACAAGAACAGAGAGTCCTGGGAAAAATGGTTATGGATGGATCCCTTGGTCAAGCCTCTGGCAGCAGAATGGGCTCTGGCCTTGCCACAGATGTCACCAGGGCTGGCCCCAAAGATTGCATCTAGGTGATGAACCTCTGTCTTCAGAGGAGGTATCTGATTGCATGTCCCAGAGGCAGGTCAGGACAGGCAGTTCCCACTCACGCCGGGTCAGATGCCCCACTCTGCAGGGCACAATAGAGGAGCAGCCGGAGAGCAGAACCCACACACAGGTTCCTGGGGGCATGCACTGTGACACGCCAGTTCCTGGTGCTGTGTTTTTACAAGAACAGTGGACTCTGGCTGCAGTGGATTGGAAGGACAGGCAGTAGGGGAAAGCATATGGGTCATTTTGGAATGGGCATCGCCGCTAAGACCACAACTCCTTTTGATCAATCTCTTCTCTCTGGCCCAAGCCAGTAGCCAACATCAGTGAAAATCCAAGAATGGATATAGGGAGATAGAAGGATAGAGGCTATAATCCTCCCACATAAGACTACGGAAGGCAGGCTGGAGTAGTTCAGCTATATCTCAAATTTCTCACACTACTACTGGTTCCTTAATTTCAGCTTGTATATACACATTGCTTTGGCTCTTTCAGATCTTGAATAACCCTTGATTTAAAAACAAGACTTTTGAGAGAAGAAATTCACTGGAATGTTATCTATTAATACCCTGGGAGGCTGGTTGGCAACTTGCTGAGAACAAGGTTTTGTGAGAAGGAACACAGAAAGGAAGGGCTTGTGGGATTGTGGGTGTGGTGGCAGTGGAGTGGGAGGGGGAGAAGTTATCTCAGAGAGTTAATGAAGTTGTACTCTCCTCCTCTTCTTCCTGGAGACACACAAAGCTGTATGTCCCTGGGATTCCTAGCAGTCAAGTCGGGCACTGCGGCCAGATGTCGAATCCATCCAACTGAATGTGGTTGGAAGTGAACTGCTCCAAGCCTGCACTTGAGATCACTCCCTTCTGCCCCTCCCCCCGACCCTGGCCCCAGCTCTATTTTCACTGCCTTGAGGATCTGCAAGCCGTGGATCTCAGTCATCACATGGAAGGGGGCTATGTTGTCCACTTGGTGGTATGGGTGTTCTGAGGTTTTACTCATTACTACAGCAAAATCTGGCTGAAACGAACACATATAGGAGGAAGGATGCCAACAACTTTTTGGGATTTTCCTGACATGGATAAGCATCGAAGCCAAGATCCTAAACTCCAGAGCACTAAAGTTTTGGGTGATTCAAACCCTGCTTCTCCCACTTAAGCTTTGTAAAATCTGAGTAAGCTTCGGTTTCTTCTTCTTTTATACTTTTAACCCAATTGCTTGCCAGTGGTGAACAACTGACACCTGTTACTTTTTACATTGAGTAGGGCTAGGAATGAGCATGGGTTCTGGTGCACTGTCCTTTCCTCTCCCATCGAGCAGGCTTTATAAGCAAGCTCCCCACGATTATACTGGTGCCTGGATGGAGTCAACCACGACACAGCACAAACACGACAGCTGTTGTTATTACTACTGATAGCAACCTTACGTCTGGCACACAGGAGAGTAACTGAGTTCAGATATGGGGGTGGGTAGGGGGACACCAGGCTCACACATCCAGGGACTGGTGGGCTCAGGAGGGATGGAAGCCCCATGCGCGAGGACCCCATGCTCTGGGGGAACAGTGGGAAGTTGCCCCTGTCCTTCCTCAGAGAGTATCTTAGCGAGGTCATCCTCAGCCCCACCTCTTAAGAGCTGGATTCTCTGAGCTTGCTTGGGGGACTCCCAGCTGGAGGGCGTGGTGCTGCCTTCACTGATGTCGTTTTCTGCTGGAGACATGGTACCTGGTCAGACCTCCAGGCACCATTCAGTTCCTTGGGCTGACCCTAGAGAAATACTACTGCACTGTCCTGAGCATGGGGCAATGGGCCTTGAATTGTGGGGGGGGGTCTCACCCCTTCTCCCCCGGGATGGGAGATCATTGGGGCAAGAGGCCACTGTCTGAGCCACCCAAACCTTTCCATTTCCAGCACCTTCCACTGAGGGGCCAGCCCTCCATCTACAGGCAAGCTTGACCCTGCTAAGATCTCAGAGTTATCTCTTCCAAAGGTTGCTCCCTGCAAAGCTAACGACACTCACGCTCCAGGTCACTCACTTGCTCACGTCCCTGTGAATATCTGGTTTTTCTATTACATTTGCCCCCACCACATGGAATAACAACATTCTTCAAGTTTCCCAAAACCTAAGCGTGTCCTGTCCCGAGCTCTGCCCTGGTACAATCTCCAGGCTGGTCATTGCAGGAGAGGTAAGAAACAAGATGGGGCTGAGGGCATCTGGGCCCATGGAAGTGTGGGGGTTGGGCAGAGGGGAATGTGGTGCTGCATCAACAGCCGCTCCAGGTTCCTGCTGTGGCAGTACACCTGGGCTCTGGCATGGTCATCAGCCTCCGCAGCGGGCAGGGCATTTTCCATTTCTGCAAATGAGCAAAAACACTGGCCAGGGTAATTTCTAAAGTTTCTTTAACTCCTCACTTGGGAAAAACGAGCAGCTTCTTAGGACCTGGAAGAAGACAGGGAAGAGGGACTGGCCTGGCTGACCCACTCATGGAGCACTGGACCTGATTGGAGTCTTCTCACCAGTGGTTTAGGGGACTTGGGGCTGGGGCTGCAGCTGGACAAGGCCCTAAGCTTGGAAACCGCCTTCTGCCCTGGCAGTGGCCTGAGCTGGCTCCCAGAGTGAAGGGTTCCAGGAGGGTGGGGTCCTGTGAGGACGACAATAATGCCCCTATCCCTGGCTTAGAGACAGAGCTGTGGGGCGAGGTGAGCAAAAATTCACCAACAGCCTCACATCTTGTTTCCTTCTGAGTTTGGGATGCCCCCTAAGTTAAGAATGAGTCTCCACGGATCCCCCTAATCTGGGACCCCAGTTCCTAGGAAAGTGGAGCTTACTCTGTTGACCTGGCTGTGGCCACGGAGCAGCCAAGAAGCAGGGTGCATGCCCCGGGGGTCTGTTCTCTCATGGTTGTGGGCAGTGACATCAGATCTGGGTTCAGAGTCCAGCTTTCTTGCTTTCTTGCTGTGTGGCCTAGGGAAGATGGCTCAGTCTCTTTGGGCCTCAAAGTACCTCCTACTTAGGGATACAAACACCTACCTTGTGGGATTAGCCTAAGGATTAAATGAGATAGTGCGTGTCCAAGTGCCTGGCACTAGGTAGCCATTTATCCTTACTTATTGTGGTCTCTACCTGTTGGGAGGGGGTGAGTCAGGTGCTGCCGCCCGAGGTTAGGTAGAGGCAGGCAAGGGGCAAAGGTGAGGATGAAGTCTTAGCAGGGGGCACCACCTGTCCGCTGGAGCAATGGGAGACCCAGGCACATGGTCCTGGCAATGGCCTCATGGGATGGGCAATGGAAATGACAGCCTTTCTTCTCTCCCATACACCTTGCCAGGAAGGGTTCTCTGTTGGAGACCTGGAGCCCTTGGGTATGTTTGGGGCTCTGGGAAGAGGCCCTAATGGCCAATGGAGAAAGCTCCAGAATCCGTGGACTGCTTCTCCTCCGTGGTCTGGTCACTAGGGTACATGGGATTGGCCGAGGCAGTGACCTTCAGTGTTGTCTCGTTCACCTGCAGGCAGAAAGGCTGGCATTGTCATGCTCCGACTGTGGGCAGGGTTTGACAGGTGCAGCAGTAAGGCCCATGGTCTGGCCATGAGGGGAGCTAGAGCAAGTCTCTAGGATTCTAAGACTCTTTCCTGGTCCCTGAGGGCAAGCAGACACTGGAGTCATCTTTTATGGTGTTTGTCTTGCTCAAGACAGAGAGGGGAATTATGCAAGTGAGGGATGCAGAGCTGGCTCTTGGCCAAACCTCTCTTGTCTGAGGTTGTTTCAGAAGACCGTGAAAGCAGAGCCACTGGGCATCCCCAGGATCCAGCACCCCTCCCAGGCCTTTCCTCCCCTACCTTTCAGGCCCTGCCACCCCAACTTACTTCCTCGAACTTCTTGGCTTTGTACTGGTCAGCCCCCTTGAGGAAGTTGAGTAGGATGATGTCACAGAGGACAGTTCCCTGTAGGAACAGCAGAGGAGGGAAGGCTCAGCGGGATTCTCTGGCATGCAAAGGGCAGGATGGCTGGAACGGGGTGGGCTCAAGAGGCCTGGACGGGATTGCTCTTGGTAGACAGGAGGCCAGGCCTGGAGTGGAGTCCTCCAGCAAGGGGTTTTACAGGTTGTCTTCACGGCCCCCTTCCCAGCTCCAGACCACTGTGACGCAAATGGGGGACATGGAGGGAGATGCAGAGGGACTGCAGGGAACGCGGCCCCTACCTTGCCCAAGTGGGTTGTGTTCTTTGTAAAGGCATCCTGGGTCTGTAGAAACCCTGGAGTTTCTTCTCTCACCTTCACGGTGAGCCTTTGTAGGAGGTAAAACTGGGCAGGTGCTTTTAGGAGGAAATGGGCTCTCAAGAGTCAAGCCTGGGCCAGGCCAGCAGAGGGAGAGGGGAGGGAATTTACACTGTAGGCTTGGCCCCTGTCTGCCCATCCATAGGCCCTTCCCTGACTGGCCTCCTGTCTGGAGGGGCTGGACTCACCACACCCACAGATGTAAAGGCTGCCACGGAGCTGATGATGGTGGGGATGATGTTGAACTTGCCAGCCTGTAGGCATAAGACCAAGGTGAGTGGGCAGAGAACAAGTTTTCAAAATTGGCCCCTGAATGAATGCTGCTCTTCAGGGCTCAAGCACTGACCTGTTGGGCCACCTGCCCAGCCCACCCACCTGCCCAGCCTGGGGACTCACATTCCCATACACCAGCACATCGAAGCGGATGCCAAAGGCCTTGAGGAGGGTGCGGTACTCGCTGCCGTTCTCCATTTTGTAGTACTTGGCGAACCTGGAGATCAGAGGAGAAGCTGGGTGCCCCTGCGATGGCCTCCTTTCTCTCCTGTCTGGATGCTAATGGTCCTTCACAGCCCTGGGGCCCTCACTGACCTTGGAGAAACACCTGCCACAGTCCTCCCTGGGTGACTTGCTCTGCAGGCAGCATCTTGGAGGCTTGTTAAAACCAAGGGAATCAGTAGCTCTGTAGGTGGGGGCCCACGGTCCTGCCTTTTGAAGACTCGGTCTAAATGGTTCTGGTGTATAATCAAAGTTGCAGCCACGTTGGATACCAGGTGTCTCCAGTGCTTGGTTGGGTTTCCCAGGGCCCAGCTCCCTGCAAATTTCCCCTCAGGCTTCTCAGCTTGCCCAGGCTCAAAGGGTGGCTCTGTCACCTATGAGCTGTGCAACCTCGGACCAGTTACTTAACTGCTCTGCAATTGTCCTTGTCTGTGAGTCATGGAGCTGTTTGTTAAAATAGAGTGAAAGCTCAGGTTTTTGGGCTCGTGTGCTGGGCAGAAATACTCGCTGATGCCTAAAGGGCCCACACTCCCTCTCCTGTCACCTTGGCCACACACCTGTGGGATCCAGTCTTTTCAGCTCCTGAAGCCAGTGCCATTTCCCCCTGTGGTTCTGCCCAGGATAGACAAAACCTTGAACATGAGTGTGGCATTGCCTTTTCAGGATACTGGAGGTTGGGTTCCTAGTGCCAACCAGCATCCTTGGAAACCTGGGAGGAGTGCGTCGGGTGCGCTGGCTCCGCAGGTGTGTGGAGTTGACATGGCTCTAAGAAGGTGCTGGCCACTCCCCTTGCTGGGCTCCTGACACCAGGCCTCTCCCAGCAGAAAGGGGCTAGAGCTGCCCCTGCACCTCACTGTGCCACTGCTGGCTTTGACCTCTCTCCCCGGGGTACTGGCATCACATACTGCACAGCAGCGAGAAGGAATGTGCAGCCCAAGCAGATCAATGATAGAGGAGTTACAGGTGTGCAAGGTGGGAACCTGCGACAGGGGAAGGGTTACCTTACAGCAGGACATGCTCTGGTTGCCATGGGGCTGTGGGGAATCTTTGGAGCCAGGTGGAGACCAGTCTAACTCCTGTCTCCAACACTTGTCAGCTGTGTGGCCTTTGATATCGCTTAGCCCTTGAGGCGTCTGTTTCCTTGTCTACATAAACAGGCATGCTCAAGGTCCCTGGCTGGTCTGGTCTGAGAGTCGGTGAGCACAGAAACTGACTCTCGCAGGCAGGTACCACTGCAGGATCCCTGCGTTAGCTTCTGGCTGCCTCTCAGCATGCACTGGCTTCCCACACTCGCCCAGCTCTGGGTCCTGGGCACCCAGTCTGTGGGGACTGCTCCTACCAGTGACAGGGGATCAGAGAGGGCAGGAGGCTGAAGAGGTCAGGATGTTTAGTATGCAGTCCCCCAACATGACCCCACCACACCAAGGCCGAGAGCCTGTTGGGCAGTCCCTGTTCTGAAGCCCTGGCTGTCTCCCAGGTTTGAGACCTGCTCCCTCTGCAGGTGACGTTAGCCCGTGGGAAGGCAGTTACCCCTCTCCCAGGACATGTCCCTCACACTGTCTCCCTCATCCTGCAGGAAGCTCAGGCCTGGAGAGCCTCATCCAGGCCAGGAAGGAGTGAGTGCAGGCACACAGGGAGCCATCTTTTCTCTCTCTGCTCTGCCTGAGCTGGGCCAGAGCCCAAGACCTTGGGGAGACACCTGCTATCCCCTTGAGAAGGAGAACCCTTGGGGGAGAAAAGGGTTCTGGGAGCAGCCTGATCCGGGATGGCGCTTCTGGTGGACTCTGTGGCTGAAAGGAGATGCAGAGGGAGCGTGAGACTCAGAGTGCCAGCGTGGCTGTGGCAAGGAGGTGAAAGGCAGTGTGAGTGGAGAACAGGCTGGAGGTCAGGAAGAGCTGGGCAAGGCCAAGGCAGCTTGCAGTTGGGCGGTGACTGAGAGAACTTCACAGAGCAAGGCGCAGAGATCGTACTCCACTTACAACTGCGTGAGGACAGGAGGCAGACACCAACAGGGGTGTTTCCAGAAAGGCAACACTGTCCAAGAACCACATCTTTAAGTAGGTCTCCAGGAGATTGGAGAAAGAAGAATCTGGAATGGTAGAAGGTTCCAGAAAATCTTCCCTATGCTTCTCAGGTTGGCCAGAGGCTAAGGAAAGCCCATCACCCCTCATTTCTACAGCACCAGAAAGAAGCATGCAAATCCAGTACTACAAGCACCCCAGTGAGCCTCACGAGGGACACATGGCTATGGACCCATTAGACAGACAGGTGGGTGGAGGGGAAGGTGCTAGCCAGGTTGCAGATCCACATGGTGTCACCACAGGCCGTGCTGCCTATCCTGAGCCGTGCTGCCCACGAGGGAGGCTAAGAAGGTAGCACTTGTGGGGGCCGTAGAGCCCCTCCAAATTCTCTGTTTCCAAAGTGGGGAGACTCTAGGTGCCAGTGGGGACCAGGCCGGGTTTGGGTTGAGTCAGAAGTTCAGCCAGAGCCAGGGTGGGGCTGGGGTCCTGTGTACTCTTCACTTCCGGCCCAAGACTTCAATCACGCAAAAAAAAGAACACTGTGACATCGACTCTGAGACAAGAAATCGGCCTCCCGCATGCTGCTCCTCCAAGCGAGGGCTGGCTAAATTTATCCTGGGGAGGAATGCGAAGGGAACAGAGAGAAAAATGCAAGCGGACTTGGTTTTCCTCCAGCACCTGCCTTCCAAGAGGCAACAAGCATGGGAAGATCATCATCTCACCACCACCCGCCCTCAGGGAGGCTTGGCAGGGACCCATTCTCTGCCTGGGAGGGAGGCAAGAGAAGCAGAACTGAGGGGGTGGGGGTCAGGTCGCTGACTGAGGAGTGACCCAGGAGCTCTGGCCACTGGTGGCACTGTGACACCTGACACCTGGGACCCAGCCCATCCACTATGGCAGAGATGGCTCCACGGTCACCCGGTGGGGCCATATTCCTGGTCCCTTGCACCTCAATGGGGCCTCATGACTAATTGTTGCCATGGAAGGTGAGTGGAAGCCAGTCTGTTATCTCACACAGGACACTTTCTTCCATTTCCCTATCCTTACCTGATGGCCAGCTGCTCAGGTGCAGGGCAAGGACCCTGAGACCAAGAGGAGACTGAGCCCAGTCCCCAAGTGGCTGCGTGGAGCTCTGCACCCTCCTGGCCCACGCAGTGCTCCAGCCCACGCAGATGAGGGCCTCTGAGATGTACTGACCCAATGTACTGCTACCAATGTCCCTGGCTTTCAGGATGAGAAGGTTGAGCCTCAGGCAGGGAATCATTTGCCAAGTACCAAAGCCCAGAGGTGGGGAGTGAGTTCAGATTAGAGAGAATGGAAAAGACTACACAGCTGTGTTCCTAGGTAGATGCATCTCAACTCCACCAATAACATCCTCTGTCTTCCTTCACCACCACACGTTGCTGGTCCTGGTGGGAGACAATGCTGGCCTGGCAAGGGCCATGGCCGGGCGGTGAACTTGCCATAACAGCAGCCAACACTTTGGTGAGAGCTTACTGCATACCTGGCATTGTGCCAAGTGCCCCATACTCAACTCATGGAACACAACCACCTCCACAAAATTAGAGGCAGTGGTTCCTCCTATCCCACAAATGCAGAAGCTGGATTGGCTAGGTTAGGCAGCTTGCTTAGCTAGGGTTGCTAAGCATTGCTGGGGTTAAGATCCAGACAGCTCAGTGGCAGAGGGCATATTCCTAGCCAGTATTCTCCTTCTAGACTGTGGCTGAGCTACACTATTCCTTGGCCTTGGTAGCTCCCAGATCTTCCCGTGCTGACCTTTCTGGCTTTGTCTTGTCTGGGAAACAGGGATGGTGAGGATGGCCAGACCACCTCCCACTGCACTGGCCTGAGACACAAGGCTCCTACTAGACTGGCTCAGAAACTTTTCCTCTCACCACACTCTCAGTTCCAGCCATTCCACACGCCTGCCTCCCTGTGCTTCCCCAACTCATTCCATGGGTGTCCATGCTCCTGCCCACGCTGCCCCTCTGCTAAAGCCCTTTCCAGCTGGCAAAATCCTGTTCACCCATTAGGACCCAGCTCACGGAGCAACTCAATCAGCAACCAACGGACACTCGGAGCGCACCTGTTTGTTGTAAGCCGGACCCTGTGTTAGGCACCACCAATACAGTGGCAAGCTCTGCTTGTCCCGGAAGCAGGAAAGCATTCATTAATCATGTAACATAAATAGCTAAGATCAGATGTAAGAGAAGGCAGGGAGAGGAGCTCTACTCTAACAGCTCCTCCTCCAAACACATTTGGCTCTCGGGGGGCTCCAGTGAGGTTTCAAGCTGTGTGACTTGACGGGTGGAGATGGAAAGGAAGACAGGCAAGGGCCCAGGCATCTTTGTGGCTGAGGAACCTCTAAACCCTGTTGTGGGAAAAGATCTCCCAGTGGAGTAGACACTGGAAGATGGACGGAAGCTCCAGTGGCTGGGGCCAGGTGGAGAATGTACAACCATGTACACGTCCTTTCCCAAGTTCTCCTTCAGCCACTTTGTTCTTGCAGCTTGAACTGGACCGCAGTGGAGATGAGCGAACACTACATACTAGGCCTGTCTTTCCCTCTGCTGGCTGGGTTTACCGGCATGGCATTGAGGCTGTGAACTGTGTGGGCTGCCCTTCCTACCCTCCCTGTGTCAGGGCCCCTACCGCAGCGACTGCTGTGCAGGATCAGACTCAACCATTTGGATCACGGCCTGTGTGGCCCGGAGCTGGCAGGCTGGGCTGGGTAAATGCTTGCTGGAAGAACAAACAGATGCCTAAGATTCTGGAACATCTCAGGGTTTAGCAATGTTGGCCTCAGGGTTTCTTCCTGCTAACTTGGGCCTTTGCAAATGCTGCTTTGGCAGGTAGAGCCGGGCTGAAGTGGTAACAACAAGCTGTGTCTCTCCTAAACAGAAACCATTTAGATCTGGCAGCTGGTGAGGTGGGAAAGGAGGTGCCACGGGGGGCAACCAGCCTCTGTGTTGGG